AATAGCAAAAATATAAATGATAAAAAAAATAAGCAGTATACAAGGTTAAGATTTACACTAAACAATGATAATGCAAAATAATATGGTGTATTAAACAGCAGCCTGAACATGAGTCTGTTGTGAGCAGATGAGTAGGAATATAGCAGCTTAAGGTAAGAAATCAGCAGCATGGATAATCAGGAGCACAGATAAAGTCGCATATCATCAATTAAAGTTTCCTTACAGTGATTTGTCTCATTTGAGATTCATGGGTCCAACAGCTTCAGGGTAGAAGCTGTTCCTCAGTCTAGTGGTTCTACACTTAATGTTCCTCAACATCCTTCCTGAGGGGAGCGGAGCAAAAAGTGTGTGTGCTGGGTGAGTGGAGTCCTTCATGATGCAGGTGGCCCTCTTCCTGCATCTGGAGGTGTAAATGTCTGTGATGGTGGGGAGACTGACTCCAACATCTTCTGTGCAGCCTTCACCACTCTCTGCAGAGCTTTTCTTTCTGCAGCTGTGCAGCCTCCATGCGACACGTTGATGCTGGAGCACAGGATGCTCTCCACTGCACACCTGTAGAAGGAGGTGAGGACTGAGCTTCCCTGACCAGCTCGTCTCGGCCGCCTGAGGAAGTAGAGTCTCTGATGAGCTTTCTGATCAGGCTGGTGGGGGTGTTGCCCCAGCTGAGGTTGTTATTCAGGTGCACACCCACATACTTGTAGCTGGAGACCACTTCCACAGCAGATCCTCCTATGTTTTGGAGGGGTGGGGGTGTTTGCTCCTTCTGAAATCCACAATCATCTCCTTCAAGAATCAAGAATCTTCAAGAATTTTTAGAAATCTCGGCTGAAATTCAGTATTGGATGGTCATGATCTTTGGGTCCCTGGGGGGCTACTGCTTTCAAACCAGGCCTGGTTCTGTTCTGGGCTCAGGAACACTTCCACAGATCACCGTCTGTAAACATAGTTCATCCACTAATGCTGCTTAAAGCTCTGTCAGGCAAAGAAGAAGCCAGATGTGAACACCATCCAGAACTGTAGAGTCTTCTCTGGACTCGTTTAAAACGGACTGAGGTGAATCCAGAACTGTTCTGTGGTCAGACAGAACTAAATTAGTTATTTTTGGAAACCGTTCTCCGTACTAGAGAGGAGAGGAACCATCCAGCCTGGTATCAGCGCACAGTTCAAAAGTCAGCCTTTCACATTTGCTTCTGTTTATTTAAACATTAGAAATTTAACAGGTCAAATAGTTTGTTTTATTCTGTGGAGCAGAGCCAGCAGTGAGATCTGATTCCTTGAGGCCAGCTAACGCAATGTCCTGAGGCATCTCTGACATCTCCTGGAGGGGGAAAATAATCTGTTGGGGAAGATTTACAACTCGATCCTCCTTTTTCTTCTCTGTTCACAGGACGTGTGCTGTTGAATCATGGTTTTAGGGTCTTTATCATTTATTCTGCAGCTTTTACAGAGAAGAATAACAGACATATCTTTAAAAGTCATCGCCATGGAGTCTTCTTCACGTCTGAAGTATTTACTTTAATGCAAACTAGGGAGGAAAGTATTTATTCTGGTATTATCACTTTTGTAGTTTTAGTATTTTTCTGTCAAGTCCAATCCATCAGAGCCTGACTTCATCTACAAGCTATGTTCACGATAATGGCCTTTCTCCCTCGGACTCTTCTCAGGTTCATGTAAATATAACCATGTGGCCAAATGACATCACCAAACATTGTTCCTGCTAAGAATGATGTAAAGATTGGAAAGAGGATTTGTGATGAACATAACTGTGGATCCCCCTCCCCCCCTTTCCTCTCCATTCACCCGAGGATTACATCCCTGCCACTGAAACTTAGCCGGGCGTTCTCCTCCCCTGGGATTTACCGTTTCTGATCACTCTGGCAGCCCGAATCCGTGTGCTCAGACTGGCAACCTTTGCAGAGATTTGGAGGCGGTTCGAGACATGAAGCAGGAGATGAAACACTGACAGAAGATAAACCAGTAAGTGAAGTTGTTTTAGTGAATGTGCTCTGATATGAACGGTTCTGACTTCCACCATGCCAAACACTAAAACGATTGATTATAATCACATCTGTTAGTAAATGTGACACTCATACTTGGAGGAAGGAGTTGTCACAGCTGCTGCGCGCTCCAGATGTGTTTATGTACGACTGGTGCGTACAGGTGGTAGATTTAGGCTTTCTGATATTTCTCTGTAAGGAAAATGTGTTTAGTTTTCTGTCACCAGACTTCCTTTCGGTGTGACGTTATGGTTCAGAGGCAAAGAGAAAATGATGCCTTCAGGTGTTGAATAAAAGGTTGTTCTTTACAGCGTTAGACATGGATGTCACTCGTTGTGCCACATTTAGCAGATTATTCGTACAACTTCTTTGCGCTTATATAGAAATCACTCGGGGATTTAAACATAATAATTTTTTAGCTCTGCTTCAGTTTCTCTGTGTCATTCTGCTAATCCACCACCTTTGGACAGATTATCATGACTAAAGTTTAATTCAAAGTCCACAGCTGATGGTGCCTCTGTGCCCTGCATTTCATCCAACACCTTCATCATAATCCTGTTATTGTTTCTTTTTGTGAAGTATCTCACCAACAATGAAATGAAATCTGGTATTTATGTTTCCAAGAGTATAATCCCAGTCACTTCTTTTTGTAGCAACACCAGGAGGATAAATCTTTATTTAGCGCCCAAAAATAATCACCATGGAATGATGCAGGGTTACAACCTTTGTTAACTTGGGTAAGTTTCTGAAGTTTCCAAGGGTCTCATGAAGAGATGTACCCTGAAACCTCCAAAGGAAGGCAACCTGATCAGATACGGATGAGCAGCAGGTCTACGGTGAGTTCACTCCAGGGTGACGGATCTCCTTACCATAGAGCTAAATGCACTATTTCACTGGGCTGCAACTAGTTTTGCTACATTTCATTTTTAGCTACTCCTGGTTAGAAATGAATTGCTGCCTTCAAGTGTGGGAATTTAAATATCTCTTGTTCACAACTGAAGGAAGAATGGGGCGTGAAATCAACAGATGGATCGGTGCAGCTTCTGCTCTATTGTGGACTCGTGTGCCGGTCCGTTGTGGTGAAGAGGGAGTTGAGCTGTAAGGCAAAGCTCTCTGTTTACCGGTCAGTCTACGTTCCTACCCTCACCTATCGTCAGCAACTCTGAGTAGTGACTGAAAGAACGAGATCTTGGATTCAGGCAGTCGAAATGAGTTTTCTGCTCAGGGTAGTTGGACTCTCCCGTAGAGCTAGGGTGAGAAGTTCAGTTAGACCAGGGGTCTGCAAACTTTACGATCAAAAGAGCTATTCTTTCTCCTTCGTTCACTACATTAAACGTGTCCGGCGCTGCAACAACATGCTACAACTGTGAAATATCAATTGGTGGCCCGTGAGCCACTTTAGGTTTGCTGGAGGGGGCTTTTGTGGCCTGTAGGGGTGACATTATAAAGCAAAAAAATATCTAGTGATTTATTACATTTATTAAAATAAAAGACCATATTCTTGTAAAGAAGGTGGGGAAAAAAAATCAGTTTTTATCTATTTTATTTAAAAATAGATAAACTGTGCAGACAAGCAGAACTGGTTTGTTCCACTTTGAGTAAGCTTTTGGGGGAAGAATCAATTTTGTTGTGTGTTTTCTTGACTGATGAAGCCTTCTGGATCGAAGGCGAAACGTTTCAGCACAAAAAAAAGAAACTGTCCAGATGACCTGACTGAAAAATGTTGGATTGTATCCCTGGATTATTGAGCATGGACTTTGTTGTGCAGACAGTTCTTCATATAAAGAAATAAAGCATCAAGTTCAAATGTTTTACTCCTTGTACTCGCTCCAGTGTTCACAAATTTGCAAAAGAAATGGCAGGAAAACAGTTTGAACTAGTCCTTTTTTTGTTGTTCGTGTAACCAATAAGATTCAGTTTATGTTAGTTTTGGTCAAAGCTTGAAAGAGTCGCTGAAGAGGGACCAAAGAGCTGCATGTGGCTCCAGAGCCGCAGGTTGCAGACCCAGATTAAAGCTTCTGCACATGGAGAGGAACCAGCTGAGCTGGGTTTCTGGTCAAGATGCCTCCGTCCTTCGAGAGGTTTTTCAGGCATGTCCAACTGAGATGAGAATCAGGGGGAGACACTGGAGAGACCAAGTCTCTCAGCTGGCTGGCCTGTGGGAGCACCTTGGAGTTTTCCTAGAAGAGCTGGAAGAGATGTTTTGATAATTTTAGCTTTTAACTACAGTTTCAGTTCATTTTTACTTTAGTCACTTTTGCTGGTTTTAGGTTTTATCTACTATATAGCTGGGTTTATTTCTTAGCTACTGTTTTACTAATTTGAGCTTGTAGCTTTTATTTTGATTGCTTTAACTTTGCGTCAGTTTCTTCAACAACTGTCAGCAGTCATTCAGCAGCTACTCTGAATTGTTGCAGAAAAAGACAATTCTGTTGATTTAAGTGTGACTTTTTGCTTCCAGCAAATTGAATATCTGAAATGGATTCAAACTCTCAAAAAGACATTTCTGAGTATCGGTGTTATTTAAAACACACATTTTTCATTTGAGAGTCACCTTAGCCTAACTGGTTAGCCGAAATTTTTCCTCCGTCAGCTGTTAGCAGCTTCATATTTCGTAGTATTTCGCTTCTGGCTTCTGCATTTTTCATTTAAATGGACGATGCACAGATTACATCTCTGGAGTTGTTTCTTCATGTCCTGTTTAGCTGCTGCCTGCTGTGCTCGCTTGCAGTCATGCATCTTTGCCTCCCTCAAGAATCAAAACCAAATATTTTAAAAACATTTATGTGAGTCACAGCTGCTTCTGCTTGTTCTTCCCGTGTCAGGAACAAAGCCAGACGGCCACAAATAGCTGCTGAGAAAACCCGAGTGCAAGTTTAAAACCACAAATACATTTAACTGCTTTTATAGACTATTGCACAAACTAATGCTATGTATAACAACATCCATGGGCATGGTTCTGAAATGTGAAGTGACAGTAATCCCATTTTATTTAACTTCCAGGCAGGATGACAAACCAGTCCACCGTGAATCAGTCCAACATAAAGAAGCAGAAGAAGGAAGAAATCCTGCGAGATGACAACACGGAGCTGGCGTATAAAGACGCTGGTCACTGCAGCCGCAACACCCACAACCTGCTGCTGGGACTCACGGTTCTCGGTATACATAATCTCCTAAAACATGCTGAATCAGCGTCCGCGCTGTTCGTTTCCTGTTTATAGTTTCTTCCACATGTTTACAGTCAAGCTGCTTCTGCAGACTACTGTATTTTTTGGCCTATAAATTGTGTTTTCTTTTGCATAATTTGCATGCCCTGTGACATATTTATTTTTTTCCCATATTTATAAACCGATTTTTGGCTGGGATATGACCATTTTCATTCATTCTGACTGAAAACATTATTAAACACTAACATTTTCAGCGACTAGATGGCACTTGAGAAGTACGGCATGCCGTTGTGTCATGTAATAGATAAAAGAGGCTATGACACAATCGGCTTGCCATAGCCTGCCACCTTCGTCCTACTTGCCTGGAGCAGGACGAAGTTGGGGGGGGCCTGTGGCTGAGTGGTTAGAGCAGTCGTCCTCCAATGCGAGAGTTGGGGGTTCGAATCCACCAGCAGTCACATGCTGAAGTGTCCCTGGGCAAGACACTGAACCCCTCATAGCCTCTGATGTGTGTCCATCAGTGTATGAATGTGATTTAAAGCTCTGATTAGTCTCTTTAGAATGATTTGTTCAATTATCTTGGTAGAGATCTAGTAGAGTGACGTATGAATGAGTAAATGAGGACACAGATTGTAATGTAAAGCGCTTTGAGTATTTTGAAATAAGATAGAAAGGCGCTATATAAGTACAGTCCATTTACTTTTTTTTTTTTTTGGCGGGGGGGGCGGCGGGGGGAGAGACAGACGCACATCTGAGCCGTGCGCCGTTTGTACCGACAGTTTTCGAGTGGTGGGGGTGCGTTCAGCGTGAGGGTTCAACATGAAGGAAGATGCTGCCTTTAGCTTTTTAGCTAGTGCACCTGCATTGCGAGCCGCTAGTTTAGCGTTACGTCAGTGCCGACAGGTGGGTGGGGGGTGGGGTTTGGTAGACGGGGCGCTCTGTTCTGTTGACGGGGCGGAGCGCCCCGCTTGTATAGTGGTAGAGGAAACACTGTTGTGAAATTTAGAAGAAATGCACAGTGAGTCGTCCCTCTGCGCGTTCACGTTTCTGCGTATCGGCTTTTGAAAATGCAGCTGATTTGACCATCAAAGTGCATTTATTAAGGAAAAGTTAGACTGAGACGCACCTTTACTATAATGTCGAGCAAACAAATAATTGTTTATTTTAAGTGTTAATCTTGTTAAATTCTTGCTAAAGTCCTCCCGTGTACGCTCCCGCGGCCGCCATTTGGCAGCCAATCGATTTTTGGCACAACACCGGCCCACATTTCCGGGTTGTCAGCAGTGACTCGTAACAAACGTGATGCATCAGCGGTGATGCATAATAGATGCGATGTATACGGCGAAGTGACGTATTTATGTAGTTTTCCTCTTAATTAGACATATTTGGACTGTTGTGACTTATAGGGCGGTGCGACATGTACGGCAGAAAATACGGTAACTGTTCACGTATCAAAACGTTCGACTCGATAAGGAAAAGTGTGCAATGGCTTTGGGTTTTTATAACTCTTATGCTACATGTAGCTTTTAGCTACAGTTAAGCTCATTTTAGATGTTCGTTTCTGTTCTGCTTGTTCGATTCAGTTAACGATTTGTTCGTCAAAAAAATGTCAACAGTCTTTTAGCACACAGTGCTCACGCTGTATTTTCACCCAAAATGCAATTTCTCTCATTCTTTTTGAGGTCAGATGCTTTTTTTTTGTATCTGCATCAGATTTTACTACCCACAAACTGAGCTCTGCACTCTGTGTTCATGTTCCCCACATGACTTTGTCAGCTTGTTGTCTTTAGTCTGCTTCTGTAAACACTTCAGGATGTTTCATCACAGCAGAGCTTTTTTTCTTAACACCAAAAACAAACCCTGCAGAAGAGTTAAGGATTGAGATCGGTTTTTTTTTGTCTGTAATTTGTCACTGAGATTTAAACTCTGATACGAAGGCGTTTACATTACTGTCGATGGCCGTCATCGGTCAGCGATGCCTTACATCTCAGACGTAAAACAAGAGGCCACTGAGTCAACTCGAGGACTGTAAACAGAACAGAAAAATGATTCATTTTCAGCTAATCAAGTCCATTAATTGTGTTTAAACATTTGAAAGAGGCTCTTCTTTTCCCTTCTTTTAGTTTTGTCGTAAAAACAAAGATAATTTTGTTTAGATTTGTCTTGAAACTGAAGGATTAAGGGATGTTTTACTGTGTCTGTTGGTCAGGTGTTGTGATGGGGTCAGTGTTTGGGATGTTCCTGCGGTACATGGTGGTGACAGACTACGCTGCCCTCACTATGATTTCCTTTCCTGGAGATATCCTCATGAGGATGCTGAAGATGCTCATCCTGCCTCTAATCATCTCCAGCCTTATTACAGGTGACCACGTTAACGAGTGCAATGAGAAAGCATTCTGTTTCAAATTAAAGTCATTTATAAACAATGCAATGCTGACATGTTAACATTAGCAACTGGGGGAAAAATGCATTTTTTAAAAGACGGGTTTGTTTCAACAACAGGAAATCTACAAGACAGAGTTAAGCTACATGTTTATCCTTTCATACAGCGCTGTGGATGCACACCCAGAAGGGTTAACCTTGTCATTCTGTCAGGGCTGTTTATGTAGACTGAAGAAAATCTCTGTTCTCACAAAGTAAATGTCACTTTCCAACAATGTTCCGTCCGGTCATCTGGACAGTTTCTTTTTGTTGTTGTTGTTGAAATCATCTTATCACCAGCAAACTGGTTGGTCCACTGTAGGAGTGTACTGCTTAGTGGGGAAACAGTTTGTCTGTGACTTCTCAGACTGACGAAACCCTTCGGATGGAGGGTGAAACATCTCTCAACAAAAAAAGAAACAATCCATATGACCTGACTGAACACTGTTGGATTTTTTACCTAGATGATTGAGCATGAACCTTTATGTAAATGTCTCTTTCTTTATTTAACCTAAACATCAGTTTCACTCAAAAGTAACTAATCTTTTATAAAGCTGTTGGCATGCAATTTGACAAAATAACATAATTATAAATGTTTTAGAACAGCAATATGGAGTCAGACGACACAGAAACATAATTTAAAGCTGTGCAGAACTGAACTGTGAAGTTGTAAGGGGATTTAAATATTTCCAGCAAAAGTCAGATTGTACAGAAATCAAGGAAAACATGAAAACTACTATTTTCTTCTTTATTTCTTAGATTTCTTTGTCATAATATGCATGTACAGTAGTCTCGTTTATCGCAGGGGACCCGTACCCTGAAGACCCGTGATAAGTGAAAAACTGCGAAGTAGAATAGTAGTACAAGTAGTAAATAGTGGTTTATTTTAGTATATATATATATATATATATATATATATATATATATAGGTGTTTTAAACCCTCCCCACACTCTTGCAATATTCTAAACAAAGTTTCTAAACTTTAAACGTTCTAAAAGAGCACAGAATGTCATGATTTCGGCTCTCTGCCTCTGCTGCTCTCAGCCACTTGCGAGCGCTCTTGGCCACACCCACTTTTCCACTTTGCACGGAGAACAGCTGATCAGCTGCAGCATGAAGTTTATCCTGCAGTAAGGGCTGCACAAAGGTGCAGGAGGTGCTAAATAATTTAAAATAATTTATTTTAAATAAAAATTCCACGCGGATCGTGCGGCTCATCCATCAACCAGCCAATTGTGTGTCATGTCCAATCTTATTTTGAAAAACCGCGATAGAGCGAGTCCGTGATAAACGAATCACGAAGTAGCGATCGAGGAACTACTGTAGTAAATATTGTCATTGTTTTTAGCGTTAACGTGAGATTTTCCAGTTGTTGCAACATCTGTAATTGTTTTCAATTTGATTCAACCTCGTCAACTCCAGGCTGTAAATGTTATCCGCAAAACATGCACTCAGTTCAGTGGGCTTATTGATTTAAAACTGACTTACAATGCATTAAAAACTTTTTTTTATGTATTTGATATTAAAAATGTCAAATTTTAACCAAGGCTTAAATGATTTCACTCCTTGTAAGTGGATATTTTTTGTAGTTTGAGATATGATATGAGGAATTAAGACGAAATAAAGCTGGTATGGAAATAAATTAGAGCTAGTCTGTAAAATAAATAGAGATAAATCTATGGTAAGTCCAGCTACAAACTCATTTAGTTCAGAGGTTATAAAGAGTTAAACTGAAGGGCAGATGCTGTCATTTAATGTATTTTTTTATGAAGCACAGAACCAACATGGATTCCTCTGTAGTACCTTTCGGCTGTGATTTGATCTCCTGGAGTGATTTTTTAAAATCCTGCGTTCTTCAGGGCTCGCTGGTCTTGACGCCCGCTCCAGTGGCAGGATGGGCAGCAGAGCCATGGTGTACTACATGTCCACCACTGTAATCGCTGCCATCCTGGGGGTCATCCTGGTGCTGGGAATCCACCCGGGTAACCCCAAACTGAGGGGCAGCAGAACCTCCACAGCTCCAAAGAACCAAGAGGTCAGCAGCCTGGATGCCTTCCTTGACCTGCTTCGAAACCTCTTCCCTGAGAACCTGGTCCAGGCCTGCTTCCAACAGGTACCTGATCCACCTGTAACACCCCTACACAACCGTTTTAGTCTGAACGCTGAGTCAGCAGCCACACTGTGGTTTTCCTGTTTATTATTTCATACGTTTATAATACAACTGCTTCTGCGTAGTTAGGGTTGTTTTAGCTGTTTTATATCAAAACATTCAGTTCATTCAGGAAATAAGTGCTCTGACTTTTATTTTTTGTATCTTGTAGATTTCTAAAAAAATGTTTTACTTTACGTAAATATTTTTCTCCATATATACATATTATGAGATCCCTTAAAAAAAAACAATGTTTTCTTTAAATCTATCTCAGCATATTTGCTCTTTTTTGTCCTCCTATGCTACTGTTTGCTTTTAGCTACTGTTATGCTAGTTTGAACTTTTAGCTGGCATGTTGCTACATTTAGCTTTTAGCTACCATTCTGCTACTTTTATGTGTTAGGTAGCCTTTTTTTTATATCTATCTCAGCATATTTGCTCTTTTTTGTCCTCTTATGTTACTGTTTGTTTTTAGCTACTGTTATGCTAGTTTTAACGTTTAGCTGGCATGTTGTTAAATTTAGCTCTTAACTACCATTCTGCTAACAACAAAGTCCATGTTCAATAATCAGTACCATTCTGCTACTTTGAGCTTTTAGCTAGGCTTTTACTAGAATTAGCTTTTAACATTTTTTAGCTTTTCGTTATCATTATGCTACTTTTAGCATTTTAGCTAGTGCTTAGCTGCTTTTAGCTTTTTGCTCTCACTCTGCATTTTTTAGCTTTTAGGTAGACTTGTGCTTTATTTAACTTTTAACTGTTGTTTTGCTACTTTTTGCTTTTAGCTTCTGATGTGAAGACAGATGTTAACAGCTGTTCTGCAAAAGCCTAACTGGGTTTAAAGGCTCTTGAAGGGTTATTTAGTCAAATTGTCAAGAAGTCCTAAATTCTTGTTTTGTTGCCAGCACCAGCAGAGCTCCTTAAATAGTCTTTAATGTGTTCCTTGAACAAAACATTTAGTCTCATAGTAAAATATTTGTGTAGTTTGAGGTAGAAAGCTCGAGTTTTACCCAAACTGACCATATTTTCATGTCTTATTTGAATTAGCAGTTAAAGTGGCAGAAGGGACCACAGCTGAACTTGACCTCACGGACTCCGTCACTCCATTTTATTGCTGTTTGTTTATTTTATTGCTGTTGACTTCTTCTCCCGGGATTCACGAGTCATGAAGGTGTTTTAGCAGGAAGGATCCGTCCTTCAAATGTTTTGTCTCTTTTCTGTTTCTGCTTTTATTTTAGAAGCTCCAGCTTCCAGGACCTTGGAAGGAGAGAGTTTGTCTGCGTGGATGTTTGAACTGAAGCCACTGATCTGTCTCTTTCAGGTCCAGACTGTCCTGAAGCAGGTGCCGGTCTCGGTGTCAAACCAAAGCGAGCCCTTGATCGTGAACAGGAAAACACTGGAAAACAAATGGGGCATGAACGTTCTTGGTGAGTCGGTGACAGAGCTAATTAATGCAATGGCTTTTACCTGTAATCAGCTTTTTCATTCATTCGCTCGTTTTTTTTAAATTCACTCATCCAAGTTTACACGCGGCCGTTAATCCACGACGAGAAAAATCTAACAACGCTCAAAAAAGCTGTGAACGACTGAGTGAAGAGAGGAAGAAAATTCATATAACCTGCCATTTTCTCAATACGTCAACAACTCACACATGACCACACTTATTATTATTATTATTATTATTATTATTATTATACAAATGAAACAAATACACAGCAAACAATATCATCAGTCTTTATAACTATTTCATAAATTCATCGCTTATTTGGGTCAATGGTTGACTTGGTTTGACCAAATCTTGAGTCAGAAGGTTTGACCCAGTGCTTTGGTTTCAGTTCTTGACAGTCCACATTTTAATCGGAAGTTGATCAAATTGTTCCTGACTGGACCTCTGCTTTAAGATGTTAAAACAACTTGTAAGAAAATGTTAAACCTGGTTGACTTTATGACAGGGACTTTAGGGATAGTAGCATGAGTTTGTGCTAGCAGAGGTTAGCACAAGTTTGCTAGCATCAGCTGAGGTTATCTAATAAAGCAGATTTGGGGGTTGTTCTTTGAACTATACCTTTTAGGTAGCTCTAATTCAATAAATTATTAATTTTAATACATTTTCAGTAGAAATTTCAACCCGGTGTGTTGGATCAAACAACCTGCTGAGATAAATCTCCACATGGTTGGCTCAGTTCAAGTTTGTCTCAGGCCTCGGTTCTCTTTACGCAGCTGTTTTTATTGTGTAATATTTTTAGGTTAAACAGACTAATAGTATGCAAATATTCACTTTGTGTAAAGTTCTTTTAGCATTTTTGGTAATTATTGGTGACAAAATTTCCCCCAACTCTTTATGGAATTACTCAAACATGGAACAAAGTGAATAATTCATAATATGAACGGTTTATATTTCTAAAACACGCTTAGCATTATTTAAAAGTGCAATATTTTTACATTTATTTTTATATATTTATGTGAGGATTACCCTCCTGCTGCCCTTGGGTCAAAATGGCCTTGTTAAGTTTGCACTTCTTACAAACGCTACTTTCTATAATATTATTTTAATTTAAAACGGTTTTAGTCCGTGTCAAACACAACCAGCAGTGGATTCAAATGATTTGTTTTATATATTAATGACATTTGTGAGTACAACAGTTTCTTTTGTTGCAAATGATGGGTTGTTCTGTCTTCTCCAAGGCTTGATCGGCTTCTTCATCACCTTCGGGATCTGTTTGGGCCGGATGGGCGAGCGGGGGAAGGTCATGTGCAACTTCTTCAACATCCTCAATGAAATCATCATGACGATGGTTTCCATGATCATGTGGTCAGTGTCGTCTTGTGTGCGCTTCTGTTTTAGCCGTTGTTAATGGCTGCATTGTGTTGACATTTTGGCGATAACGCACAAACACGAGGTCAGCGACAGTGAAGGAAAAGTGACAGGCAGGAGACAAACCATGCTAAACAGCAACGACTTTAGAAGAAAGAAGGGAGGACGTGTGTTAGTGAAGGACACAGACAGATGGGAAGAGCGAGGGTCTCCCTGGAACATGCTGGAGTCTGTGGTATGCCGAGGATCAGCACGAGCAATGCTGCGGGCTCCCAGGGGAGTCGAGGAGGAAGAGCTCCAAAATGTAATGGATCCGCAGACGGGCAGAGGAGCTGCTTGGCGGCAGATGCACGCAGAAGAAAGATGCGTGCTTTCAGAGAGGCTTTGCAGGACTCTGGACTGTCACGTGGAGAAACAGAGGAGTCGCTCTCAGAGCAGGGAGGGGCGGTTAGAAGAGAAACTACATGTGCAGCTGGACACCAAAGGAACAGTTTTCATCACTCACTCAGTATAAACATGTTAGCCAGAGGCCTGTGGAGCAAACCAAACAGAGTTCAGTGTATACAGAGGGAAGTACAATCCACACGCTCAACAACTGTCAGCAAACGCCTGCCTCAGGTTTCAGCATGCAGCTGACCTGGAAGAGCAGGCTGCCGTCATGATGGGAAACTGCAAAGGGGCGGGGCTTAAAGGAGAGCGTCGCTTTAATTCAGATTTCCTGAAAGAGCGGCGGACTGAATTTATGAATGGGAACAACTGCGCCGTGAAGCAGGAAACTGGAGATCCAAGAATGTGCCGGGTCCTCTGGGCGCGTGAAAAAATGCTTCAGTGGGAAGATTAATTAGGTGGTGTCACATCTCTATTAATTAAAATATAGATTAAAAAAAAAAAAGTAAAATACTTCTTTAAACAAATATGTATTAAAAGCACTTTAGCAAGATTTTTATAGATGAAAAGTTTGTGTTTGATGATAAAATATGTCTAAAATGTAAGAAACAGAAATGGACAATATTTTGATTACAAAGGGTTGTAATGACTTTAATTAAACTAAACAATAAAATGGAAACTTCTTTCAGGCAGTTAACTTGTAAAACACGTTCAGGACTCTTTTTTTTTTTCTGACATTTATTAAAAATTACTTTTTAAACATACCGTAGATGTTAAAATCGTCAACGCTCGTTTGCTGTATCGACCAAACTGTCTGTAAAATAACGCATTAACAATATTTAATGCCAGCTCACGAACAAAAGACACAACATTTAAAGTATTTTTACTTTTTGTCATGTATTATTTTGTTTCTGCCAACACAAACTGACTTTACAAACTTGTTTGTCCAAGAGGTTTATCTTTGACTTTGTTTAGTGTGTTTAATGTGTTTGTGGGTTACTAAAATGTCTCGTGAAAAACAGAATAAATTTTATCAAAACTTGTAGAATGCAATCACTGGGTCTACAGCTTATTAACCTATTGGAGTTATTTAAATTCAAGATGGCCGCCTGATCTTAAAACAACGAACAAAAATGGCTCTAACTCAGTTAAATTTACATAAAATGTGTTTTGGTAGTAGCTGAGACTGATCCTCAAGGCAGGTTTTGAGTGCTAGCACAGGGTCTTGTTTAAAATTGTAGCAGTAATCGTTGAAGTCAGTCCTCTTTGTCTTTTAGCAAAGTTTCTCATAAACCACTGGACTGTGGTTAAACAACACAACACAAAAATGGCTACAACTCAGTTTTACAGATGTTGACATTCATTTTGATGTGGCAGTAGCTGAAATGCTGTTCTTTAAGGAATTTATTTTCATTATTCTGATAAAATAATTGTAGTTGTTCGATCCTAACTCTGTGCGCAGGTACTCTCCTATTGGCATCGCCTCTCTGATCGCAGGGAAGATCGCTGCCATTGGAGATCTGGAGGTGGTGGCCAGGCAGCTGGGCCTCTACATGGTGACTGTAATTGTGGGTCTGGTGATCCACGGCGGCTTGATCCTCCCTGCTATATTCTTTGCAATCACCAGAAAGAGCCCCTTTGTGTTCTACTCCGGGATTTTCCAAGCGTGGATCACGGCTCTGGGAACTGCCAGCAGGTATGACAGACAACCTTCCATGCAGATGTGGAGACATTTGTTGGTCCCCTTACGGCTCATTGAAGCAATGTTGTGAAAAGTTAAGATAAAATCAACAGTCTAGTGTCCAGATGCATGCTCAAGGAGTCTAGCTCGACAGTCTAGTGTTTGTCTGCATGCCTTTAGTAGTACCACAGGATCCGTCATGTTCCTGTTAGCTATTCAGCCCGTTTAAAGGGAACAAACAGCCACTTGGTAGTATGCTATGGTTGTGTGCACCAACTTGAACATGGAGCAGAGAAGGTAAAGATGAGCGCTGCCTGACAAGCTCAGACACAAGGTAACAGATACCCATGTTAAAAGTAAAAGCTACAAGCCCATCTCCAATCAGTTTCATGTTCCTCTGACCACAGCTGATTAAACAACAAAAATGTAGACAGTCCATGGGGCTGTAACCAACCTCCAAGGACGTGGATGCAAGAGAAACCGCAGCCTTAGATTTTCCAGTGGGTAGAACAAAAGCCAAAGAAACATCCATCCATTATCTTTACCCGCTTCTTCCTCTTAGGGTTGCGGGGGTCACCGGTGCCCATGTCCAGCCATTACTGTGCGAGAGGCGTTGAACACAATGGACAGTCTCCAGTCCATCACAGGGCCACATAGAGACAAACGAGACAAACAACCATTCACTCTCTCACTCACACCTAGAGACAATTCAGTTACCAATCAGCCTAAAGTGCATGTTTTTGGTCTGTGGGAGGAGCCAAAGAAACAATAAAAAATAAAACTACTGGTAAGCTAAACTGCAATGTTGAGATTTCTGATTGCATCATCCATCACAGTTTGGGTCCATAGAAGACCCAGGTCACAAAAACCAGACAGGAATCCACCAAAACGCATGCTGACAAAAACAAAAGTTTCTAGAAGTTTCTGGGACTTATGAGCCAAAATGGAGCTTTTTAGGTAGATACATCGATAGGTTTTTTTTCTAATTATGGAAGGGTACCAACAAATGTATCCACGCCTGTGAGTGTGACGTCGTTTACAACACATTACTCCTCAAACAGCTGTTTAAGTTACCACGACTGACTGCTGGTTGTTTTTGTTCCTGTCATCTATTTGGGTTAAACCTCAAAGACCTGATGGCAAAATTCAGTGTTCATGCAACTGCAGTGGCAGTTCGGGACAGCAGAGCCAAATGTGTCCATGCTATCATAGACCAGTCCATGTCAGACGGATTGTGTGTTGTAAATGTCTAAGCCTTTGGATTAGTTGTCACCAGACAAACCGGCCCCACTGTATCCCTGCATGGCTTGGCCTGGCCTGCTCAAACCAACTGTCATTTTGGCACATTGTTGTGGTTTTTGTGAAAATGGGTAATCCTATCAACATTCTCTTTAATTATATTATGAGCAGAGCAGGATCAGAGCCAGGAATCAGATTCATCTAATTCACATATTGAAGGATTGAAACAGTGGCCTTCCACCAGCTGTCAGGAGGAGGCTGTCAGCCGACTCAAATATCCGCTGCCTTTTATTGACTCTTGAGTTACCCCTTCACCTTTCTCCCCACCTCTGCACTTCTGCCTCCCACCACCTGTCTGCCTATTTTGTGTCCTCACACAGACTCTTTGCTCTTCTTCTCCTCCCTTTTTAAAAAAAATGCCCCTGGTCTTCCTTGTGGGTGTTTCTATTTCCAGTGCAGGCACGTTGCCTGTCACCTTCCGCTGTCTGGAGGAAAATCTGAAGATTGATAAACGTGTGACTCGCTTCGTGTTGCCCATCGGTGCCACCATCAACATGGACGGCACCGCCCTGTATGAGGCTGTGGCAGCCATCTTTATTGCCCAGATGAATGACATCTCACTAGATGCTGGACAGATTGTCACCGTGAGGTATGTATATAAAGGGAATGCACATGATACTAGTGGAGATGTGTCAGTAGTGTGAGTTTTAGCTACTGAAAAGGAAAAATATGGTATTTTCTTTCAAATCTCTCCAGAAAAGAGAGTGCATGGCCACGATTGCACAGATTGTTACATTTCAGCTCGAAATACCTTCTTCAAAACTCCATATATCTCCATAAAACTTGCATAAAACACTGTAGGAACATAAAAACCTATGTGTGTAACCACAAGAGTCATGGTGCTCACGGTTCAACAATCTTCAAGTTCTTGTTCTTACAGTTTTCGCACAGCGACTGTTTGTTTGAGCTCACAGTTTCTGTTGGTCTTTCATGAATGTGGCAGTCAGGGAGTGAGAGACACAGGTGCATGGTTACCATAGTGACCATAATGAGCCACTGGCAGTAGCTTTAGACTTTTTTTTTATACTGATTCCTCTTACACTTCATAGATCAAAAGGAAGGCATTTTATTTAGAGTTTTGTTTGTATTTTGAGTTGCAGCTGCGTTGGCACCAGTTCTTCAATGACCTTTAATAACCTTTTTGATAATATTCTCTTTTTATACATTCAGTTCTATTACAAACAACAGGAACCATGTTTAATGTTTTCATTTTTTTTATATAACCTGCTCGTAACCCCTTTTAAAGCCTATTCGTCGCACATCTTGGCTCCGAATCGTTCCAATAATATTACTGGGGGAGCTTTTCCAGTTTCAGTAGCTTCCAGACGCCAACAATCCAACTTTTACACCCACTTAACACTTCATTTAGAACAGCTGGAGTCATGGTTTAAAGTATAAAAATTTTTTTTGGGTGTCCATATGTGCTCTTGGCACCTGGACACCCTAGGCCGCAGTTCGATGATCGACTTTGTCGTCGTCTCATCTGATCTGCGGCAACATGTCTTGGACACTCAGGTGAAGAGATGGGTGGAAGCGGTACACCACCAACGCTGTTTATAGTGGGGGTTGTGTGCTGCTGACCTCAACTCGGGATGTCGTGGGTCGGTGGGCAGAATACTTTGAAGACCTCCTCAATCCCACCGGCACGTCTTCCACTGAAGAAGCGGAGCCTGGGGACTCTGGGTTGGGCCCTCCAATCTCTGGTGCCGAGGTCGCCGAGGTGGTTAAAAAGCTCCTCGGTGGCAGGGCCCCAGGGGTGGATGAGATTCGCACGGAGTTCCTTAAGGCTCTGGATGTTGTAGGGTTGTGTTGGCTTACGCGACTCTGCAATATTGCGTGGACATTGGGGGAAGTTCCTCTGGATTGGCAGACCGGGGTGGTGGTCCCCCTATTCAAAAAGGGGAACCGTAGAGTGTGTTCCAACTACAGGGGGATCACGCGCTTAAGCCTCCCTGGTAAGGTCTATTCGGGGGTTCTGGAGAGGAGGGTCCGTCGGAAAATCGAACCTCAGATTCAGGAGGAGCAGTGCGGTTTTTCTTCCTGGTCGTGGATCACTGGACCAGCTCTACACTCTCAGCAGGGTCCTGGAGGGTGCGTGGGAGTTTGCCCAACCGGTCTACATGTGCTTTGTGGACTTGGAGAAGGCGGTCAACCGCGTCTCTCGGGGAGCCCTATGGGGGGTACTCTGGGAGTATGGGGTACCGGGCCCTTTGATACGGGCTGTTAGGTCCCTGTATGATCGGTGTCAGAGCAAGGTCCGCATTGCCGGCAGTAAGTCGGGCTCGTTCCCAGTGAGAGTTGGACTCAGCCAAGGTTGCCCTTTGTCACCGATTCTGTTCATAACTTTTATAGACAGAATTTCTAGGCGCAGCCGAGGTGTTGAGGGGATCCGTTTTGGTGGCCTTAGGATTGCTTCTCTGCTTTTTGCAGATGATGTGGTCCTATTGGTTTCATCAGATCGTGATTTACAGCTTTTGCTAGAGCGGTTCGCACCCGAGTGCGACACGGCCGGGATGAGGATCAGTTCCTCCAAATCCGAGGCCATGGTCTTGAGCCGGAAAAGGGTAGAGTGCCCTCTCCAGGTCAGGGAGGAGGTCCTGCCCAAGTGGAGGAGTTCAAGTATCTTGGGATCTTGTTCACGAATGAGAGAAAAATGGAGCGTGAGATCGATAGGCGGATAGGTGCAGCGTCTGCAGTGAAGCGGGCGCTGTACAGGTCTGTCGTGGTGAAGAGAGAGCTGAGTCAAAAGGCGAAGCTCTCAATTTACCGATCGATCTACGTTCCCACCCTCATCTATGGTCATGAGCTTTGGGTTGTGACCGAAAGAACGAGATCTCGGATACAAGCGGCCAAAATGAGTTTTCTCCGCAGGGTGTCTGGGCTCTCCCTTAGAGATAGGGTTAGAAGCTCGATCATCCGGGAGGGACTCAGAGTAGAGCCGCTGCTTCTCCACGTCGAGAGGAGCCAGTTGAGGTGGCTCGGACATCTGTTTAGGATGCCTCCTGGATGCCTCCCTGGTGAAGTGTTCCAGACACGTCCCACCGGGAGGAGACCCAGAGGAAGACCCAGGACACACTGGAGGGACTATGTTGTCTAATGTTTCTCGGCTGGCCTGGGAACGTCTCAGGATTCCTCCGGAGGAGCTGGACCAAGTGGCTGGGGAGAGGGAAGTCTGAGCCTCTTTACTTAGGCTGCTACCCCCCGCGACCCGACCCCGGATAAGCGAAAGAAAATGGATGGATATTTTTTCAACTTTTTTATTTTATTTTTTTTTTACTTTTGAACATCAACCATGGAGCACAGCAGTCTGAAAGTCTTCCAGACTGGAGTAAAATTAATTTAAGTGTATTCCCCATCTAATACTGCTGGCTTTATAAAACATGTGATTCAGTCAAAATTAATTTCATAGATAATTCTAACTATGTGTAATTATTGTGTTCATTTGCTCTGGATTTATTGTACGTTTGGCCCGAGGCAGAGGGCAGTAGCAGGGAAGCCGTCTCAGTGTAGACGAGATAACAAACTGAACCAAATAACAGTCTAAATAAATAAAGGGGAGTAATGCTGTAGGTGGGTCCCAAAGAGGCTGCAAGTTCTTTTAATAAAGATATATAATCATATGATGTCATATCAATCATAAACAGCGTATAACATTGTTTAATCAACGTTAGAAACAGATGGAGGTACGACACAACGAATTAAATTAGAACACAAGGATTTTAAATTTTACACATTATCAATCATTTATCTGACATTTGGTCAGTTGGACAGATAAAGAAATCACTAGAAGTCCATCCATCCATCATCTTTACCTACTTCCTTTACAATACAGTACAACTTTATTTATAAAGCACTTTACAAATCACTGGTGTCTATATCCAGCAGTCACTGTGCGAGAGGCGGGAGACACCTGGACACGTCTCCAGTCCGCCACAGGGACACATAGAGACAAACAAGACGAACAACCTTTCACTCTCTCTCACACCTAGGGACAATTTAGAGCCACCAATCAGTCTAACATGCATGTTTTTGGTCTGTGGGAGGAAACCGGAGTAAACCCACGCATGCACAGAGAGAAACTCCATCCAGAAAAGTCCCAGCCTGGGATTTGATCCAACAACCTTCTCACTGAGAAGCAACAGTTGCACCAACTGAGCCAGTGTGTCGCCTAGAAGAACATCTACGACTGATTTAGAGTTAACCTGATTCAAGATGCTCACAACAGCTAAGAAAAATAGCTATAATAGTTTTTCTTTTACAGACGTTAAGCTAAAATTGGTATGGTAGTAGCCGACAGTGATCCCTCATGCACACTTCAAGCTCTAGACATCGCACATCTTTGCTTAACACCTTTTAGAGTCAAAATGGCTGCCACAGCTAAACATTATCAAACACAAAAGGTTATAACTTAATTATTTTACGGATATTGAGCTGACGTTTGGTGTGGTAGTAGCTGAGGGTAATCTCCAACACATACCTTGAGTGATAACATGTCTCATAATATTGTATGACTTCATCATTGATAAGTTTAACCAAAACAGAAACTTAATTTAAAAACATCATCTTTCATTCTTTAAGGAATTCTAGTAGCTTTAAATCTGTTTTATTTCCACACAAACTAAAAACTTTAGCTGTAACTAAAAACGCTCCCAATGAAAAGTTACCTTTCACTGAGAATATATATTTTTTAATTAATTTATATCAGTCAAAACAAATTTGAAGGCATTTTTAAAAGACTCATGGTACAGCAGATTGTTGTACCCAAATTAATAGCAGAGGAAAACTAAAAAGAATGCGGTTAAAAAGTAATCACATATTTTTTCCCATGTTTGAAGTTTGAACTAAACATTAAGTCCAAATTAGAACCAGTCTGCTTGGATGAGACTCGGCCCGTTGTAGCTGCGGGTTACAAATAACGCTCAGGTCTTTGAAAACTGTTTTACATTTTTCAGCAATGTCTGTTTACCACCAGATTCCAAAATCTAATTGTCCTAACGTGCTGTGTGGCTGTTGTGTGGTAAAAATATGATCCATATGTGGTGTGTGCAGTTCTTAACGTTCCCACTTGGACTCACGGTGAAGTTAATGATTAGAACCGCAGACCGGTGGGAAACAAAAAGACATGTGACACAGGACCGTGAGATCTTAACGATATCGACGTGGTTTAGAACAAAGACCGACATGAACTGATAGTTTCCCTCATGGCAGACACATTCTGAGCAGCAGCATTCCTGAATGTTTTGTTGTGGACTAAGAAGAGCATTCCTCTTTGCTGCATCTGTTCAGAAAGGAAGTGAACACAACAACATAGCAGGCTCTGGATCTGATCCTCATTTTGGACCAAACCTTCAGTGAATCTGAGGAGTCTGACACTGGTTTGTGACACATTATTGGAAGAAAATGTATACACTTTTCATTGAGTTTCATTAAATTCTTCACACTTTTTGACCAAAGACCGGTGCTCGCCTTGGCAGCGTTCCCCACATTTATGGTTTAATTTGCTGAAGTACTCATATAAAATGAAGACAGGCTAATTAGAAGGAGGTTTTAGATCTTAATTACCTTAGACGTTCTTTTTAGAGCTGGATCTGTCACATGGACGAGAACTTGGAGAGGTGGAGGTATGCACTTGAAAGAAGAGGAATGAAAGTCAGCCGTTGTAAGACAGAGTCCATGTGCGTGGATGAGAGGGAGGCCGGTGGAACAGTGAGGCTACAAGGAGCAGAGGTCACAAAGGTGCCGGACTTCAAGGTCCACTGTCCAGGAAAATGGGGAGTGTGGTAAAGAGGTGAAGGAGAGTCCAGGCAGGATGGAGTGGATGGAGAAAAGTTTCAGGAGTGATTTGAGACAACAGGGTGGTCAAAAGGTCAAAGGAAAAGTTTAGAAGACAGTGGTGAGACCAGCTATGTTGTATGGTCTGGAGACAGAGACATGGACAAAAAGACAGGAGGCAACTGGAAGTGGCAGAAATGAAGATGTTGAGGTTCTCAGGAGTGACAAGGATGGAGAAGATTAGAAATGAGATCATCAGAGGTACAGCACAGGTTGAACAACTGGGAGATAAAGTTAGAGAGGCCAGACTGGGATGGTTTGGACATGTCCAGAGGAGGGACAGTGGTTTGGACATTTCCAGAGGAGGGACAGTGGGTATACTGGTAGAAGGATGTTAGAAATGCAGCTTTCAGGATAAAGACAAAGAGAAGATAAATGGATGCAGTTAGAGAGGATATGGAGGTAGTTGGAGTGAGGACAGAGGATGTAGAAGACAGAAATTGAGGAGCGTGACTCTCTGTGGAGACCACTCAAGAGGGAAAAACCAAAAGAAGGAAGACAACAGGTACTGTGTCACAGGAGAGCTCACCTTCAGCTCTGGCGCTCTTGAGACAGGTTAGATATTCCCGTGATTCTGTGATGATTTTGCAAGAAAGTTTGTTGCACAGATTTTATGAGCATTTAATTATCAAGACTCTCGAGAGGGAATTAAGAATGGCACACAACGTTCTGGAGACCCCCAGCTGAACCTAGTGAGGTGCTAAAAGGTATTTCCTTAAGGACGTGCAGATACGCCTTGGTTCTTTTGTAGTTTAGTGGAATAAAATCATAAGAATCCACACATACAATTCTGGCTTACAGATGTAAAAATGCTGTTTGCGTGTTTAAAACCTTTGGTTCACGGTCACAGTGCTCTGGTCTGATGTGAGCAGACACATCTGCTCACAGCACAGCAGTGAGCAAAGATTTCACATCTGGATACTCAGGTTTCGACGCAGTGTTTCTATCTGATGAGCCATCAACATGAAGAGACACTGCAGAGGAATTAAAATGTTTGTGAATGATTTTGGAATTTAACCGACTCTAACTCACCATTGACAGATGTGCTATTGGAAATCAGATTTCTGCGGTGCAGCTTCTAAACCTTCGTGAATTTCTTTGATTTTTGTAATCAGTGATGTAGGTTTGCAAACGATGAAAGTCCTGAACAGGAAGTCCTTAACATGTTGTGGGGGGTTGGTGGCGCAGAGGCTAGAGGAGGTGGGCCTGTGATCGGAAGATCGCCGGTTCACGCCCCGGTATCGACAACATCAAAAAATGTGGGTGGGGTAGGTGAAGTACCCACACTTGCCCCCACCCTCATTCGCCCCACTTTGTGCCCATGTGCAAGGCCCTTAACCCCCATCTGCTCCCTAAAACAGGTCTCTCTTGAAAATGAGTTATCATGGCTCAAAGAGACTATCTGTATAAATAAAGGCTAAATGAAAAAAATAAAAATTGAAAAAGATCCATACAACTGTCTATTTTTCTCCTCAGTATGACCGCCACCCTGGCCAGTGTTGGAGCTGCCAGTATTCCCAGTGCCGGACTGGTGACCATGCTGCTGATCCTGACAGCTGTTGGCCTGCCCACTCAGGACATCAGCCTCCTGATCGCCGTCGACTGGCTGCTGTGAGTCGGGTGTCTGATGATGGGGTTGAAGTAAATCATGGCTGTGTGGTTCATGTTGCTTACAGGTTGTCTTGGTTCAAACATCTCTGAGGGGATGGTAAAATGTTGCCGGATCTCATCGCTTCACTTCCCGCCTTTCTGTTTGTCCACTCAGTGACAGAATGCGCACCTCCATCAATGTGGTGGGCGACTCGTTCGGTGCCGGCATTGTGGATCACTTGTCAAGAGCAGAACTGGCCGAGCTGGACGCAGCCGAAATGCTCCCGACGGAGGAGGCGCTAGCTTTCATCCTGCCGCCTCCGATCCTCACAGAAATGGACCTGGTCGATCCTCTCAAGCCGCCCGAGCTGCCCCCCCGGTCTCCTCGCCCGCTCAAACTAAACCATCACAGCCACGTCCTCTCCCAGTCCCAGTCCATCACTCACTCTCCTTCCTGTTCTGTCCGATCTCCTTCGCCCCGCTCCGTGCGCTCCCCCTCTCCGCGCTCCGTCTGCTCCCATTCCCCTCGGCCTTTCCGTTCTCATTCTCCACGCCTCCTCCGCAGGACGGAGCCGGGCTACTGCCCCCTGCCCAGCCATGACAACCAGGTATCTACCCCTGTATTATTATGCTTTTATTTTTTAAGACTAAACCTGAAACTAGGACGTTTTATATTATTTTTAAAAATGATAACGATTAAACTATACTTTTAGCCATGCTTATTGTTTTAGGATCCTCAAAGCTTTTTTCTAACCAAACAAAAATTTAGCCAAAATGTCATTGTGTAATCACACAAAAGACATCAATGATTGCTCCTTACAGAAAAAAAAAATTAACAGGAAATCACTCTCATGTTATCGCATGTGGTCACATAAACATGTTGAAAATGTTCCTAATTCACATAAGAAAATTAGCAAAATATATTTTGTGTTAATTTAAAAATTTCACAGGTAAAAACATGAATTTCCAGAGTTACACAAGAAGTTTGGACAAAACGTGTGTTTCACATGTTCATTTAACGTTTTCACATGTGACATCGTGTGGGTTTTTTTCTGTAAGGTGTGCTCAGCTGGTGGTGTATTAAGCAATGTGGGTTCTGTGTCTATGAATAATCAGTGTCTTACCTGCACCGACAGCTGTCAACACAATGCCAGTTTGGAGAATGAGGGAGGACTTTTCATGCTTGAGCTAAGCTAACAGCTGTGCAGAGAAGAGCAAATTTATATAATCTAAAACAAGCCCAAGTTCTAAATTTACTAAGCAGTTTGAGTGAATTGTATATTTCCCATCTTGTCACTTTTAAATCAGAAAGTTATTTATTTATAACTGTATTAACTTCTTATTGTTCCAAAAATCATTTATTCTGAAGTTTTTTATTCTGATTGACTGTTAGCTTGACATGTGTGTGAGAAGTTCTCACTGATTCTCCAAACTGAGCTCATTCCGATGTGTTTCTACTGCAGGTAAGATACTGATTACTCAAAACCACTCTGCACAATCCCACTTCAAAAAAATAATCGAGAACTATTCATTCAGGAAGTTTCAAAAGTTCCCATAAGTTTTCCCATTTTAACAGTTCCCAGTTCAGTTCTCTAATGCTGAGCATTATCCGTATCAGTCAGTGCGTTCTGTTGATCTCATTTTTCTGGTTTTCCACTCAGATTTCCACAATTCCACGCTCCCACAGAGAGCGGGACAGAGAGCGGGAACGCCTGAGGAGAGAAAGCGAAACGGAGGAGGAGGAGGACAGAGAGAGAGTTCTGGGAGAAGTGAGTGACGGCGAGGAGAGTGATGACACCGCTTACGATCGGAGGTGCGCCATCCCTCTTGGCGATCTGCCATAACTACATTTTACGAGGATAAATTACCAGAATAAAGCTTTGATCGGTTTGTTTCTTTTTTTACAACAGATTTCAGCTTCACTGTTAACATTACAGCAGAGCTCCACGGTAGATTTCTTGCTGTTTGCACGACTGATGTGTAAACATAAGCAAATTTTGACGTGCATGAAAAATATTGCAATGAAACGTTCCTGAGGGAGTTCAGTTAACTCTGAGCTGCCGACATCTCTCTGAAAATTTACGAAGAAGTTTTTCCTGGTCTCAAACAAAACCTGAAATGATCCCGAACTTCCTTCGATTTGTCTGGTGTCCATATGTCTGGTTCTGTTACTACCAGCTTTTAAATGCACAACTGAAAAGAAAAATAATTAAAAATACAGTTTTAAAAAGATAAGCTTTTGAAAATGTATGCTCTCTTGCAGAGATGACGTTATTTATTAGTCATATTTTAATGGTCTGGTTCTGTCCAAAGGTAACTCCCTTGTCAATGTGTGCTGAAAAGCTGCAGAATCAAAAGTTGGAAATATGCTCCACGTGTTTGTCTGATTGATTTGAAAAAGGTTGACATTGAAAAGATGTTTATATACGTCTATATAGTATTTGAAAACAAGGACTTAACGTCTGGATACTTCATCCAGACGTATCAAAGGCTGATTAAATGTTTGTCTATGTAATCCAACAACATATACCTCGAGACGGGTCCAAAACCAGGATGTTGAAGCCACATAGGAACGTCGCCCTCTAGTGACAGGCTGCAGTACATTTTTGAAGTCCCGCCCCTTCTCGTCCTGAGCATTTCATTGCATCGTTGACCTTGTGTTGATCTGCACATGACAAATAAACCTGAACCTGAACCTGATCTTCTATGCAAATAAATGAAACATTTTACAGAATAAAAACTTAAAATCCACCTCATATTTTTAGGTGTTGATTTGTGTAGCTCTTCTTGCTGCTATATATATATGCATTATTAGTTTTAATTAGTTATTTATGGCTTTAAGATAGGCCAGTCACGATAACAAATTTTGCTGGGCGATTAATTGTCTCAGAAATTATTGCGATAAACGATAATATAGTTTGAAATTTGACAATAATTAGTCATTCTTGTCAAATTTAAGAAGAAATGTTTAAATTGTTTTGCGTGTAGTACTTTTTTGACCACCGGATGGCAGTATAAGACTGTTTGAACTGAAGGATGGATGGTGAGGGAGCGAGCAGCTTGTCTCTTTACGAAAAATGGGAGGGAGGCCCCTTGACGTGACATGAGCTGTCGCTCTTCGGTTCTCAAAATGGCAGACGCTCTGTGTGGTTTGAGCTCTTTAGCATAGCATTTTTCATACAGCGTTTAGTTTTTTTTTTTTTAATCAGTAAACAAGTGCTCAGCTTCTTTTTGCAGGGAAAAACTTCATCATCCAGTGTCTTCAGTAGAAAGAGAGAGACACGAAGAAACGATAACGCTGATAAATGAAAACGAGGTTGATAATTTTCATTTATCATGCGATTAATGGATTTATTGTTTATCGTGACAGGCCTACTTTAAGAAAGTGTCACCCTACAATCAGATTGCCACTTTGACAGCATGCTGGACTTTTGCATCGAGGGTACAGCCCTGCATCGATAGTGTGCAGACTCTGGCTCCAGATATACAACATGGCCGCTCCCAAAAAATAACCATTTAGTCAGGGAAGTGGATATCAGTGATTCAAAGCATGCACACCATTCTTGCTGCTTACAGCCTTGAAAATGTGTCCATCCGTGGCTGAATCCAGGCTTTTATTCAATGTGTTGCAAATTTCAGCTAAATTTCTGTTTCTTGGGTCCTTATTAGAGATGTTTCCATACCTGTCATGGTGGTAATAGGCGACACTCTTCCATGTAGAAAGACTATACACTTACTGGAATATAACGGTTTTAATCTTAGATAGATTTAGCAATGTAATTAGACGCAGTACTAAATAAAACGGCTTTTATTAACACGTTTTTCATCGATAATAGATGGCATAAAAACGCATCAGACGTTATTTCAGCCTTCATTCCACCTCCGTTCTTACAAACAGGATGCCGATATGATGGAGTTTCAGCGAGTATAACAGAACATCCCAGTAGTAGATTTTTCTTTACTAATGGACAGAACCAGGTGAAGTTTCACCTAAAAGCGCTTAGCTTTTTTTTTTTTTTTTTTTTTTAATGAAACAAGTAGTTAAAATGTGGTTGCAAACTTTGCTGTATGGACATTTTCTTTAATTAATTTCATGAATAGCAACATGTTGCTTAGTTAAATTAAAAAAAACAACAGAAGTTATTTTTATACACTTCTCCCCCCCCCCAGCTCATCGTTCACATCCTCGCTGCTCTTTCTGGTTTCCCACAGATGATTGTCATTGTTCTTGTTAATACTGTCTATATTCTGTAAGATTTTTATTTTGTTGTTGTCCGGTGTGTGTGAAATGACGGATATAAGTTTTCTGTTGTGTGTTCAAAGTTATTTTATCTGATTTGTCGATTTTAATTTTAACTGCTAAAAAAAACAAAATAGCTTGACTGATATCCTGTTTCTCAAAGAACTGCCTTTTGATTTCAAATTCAAATTTACCAACAGCCTCCCTACATCCCTAATCAGATTTACATGTCCAAGTGTGTGTATACTGCAATAAAATGTTAGATTTATTTAAAACGATAGTGATTTGTCTGGTTTTTTTTGTTCCTTGAGTGACTTGTACAATCAGTGGAAGGATTTACAGTCAAAAAGGGGGTCGCGCGTCAGTGTTTGGTGACTAAAGATAGAGCAAAAATCCTGCAGACAAAGATATTACTGGTTGGAGCTGAAGTTGCAACAGACACATACAGGAAAAATGCACAACAAACGCACATCGAGGCTGCGCTTACACATTGATGAGTGGACACGCAGGGACACCAGCGCTCTTAATCCTCTCAGGGAAGAGTCGGAGATGGGCGAGCCTGGGGAGAGTGGTGGATGGGAGAGGAGCCGTGGGGCAGCAGATGGCCAGAAAGACGTCAATCGTTTTCATTCTTCCCAGACAGCATAAGGGCACTGCGGGTAAGGACGAGCAGGGCTGACGTTCGCTTCAGATCCCTGGGTGTCAAAGAGGAGAGCCACCCAGGTGGAGATGAAAGGTGACATGCTGGAGGCTGGTGGTCTGCAGCTACCTGAAAATCTAAACTCATGTAGGTTTAAAAAAAAAAAAAAGATTTTCGATGTTGAACGTTTCTGCCTGATGAGTGCGATGAAGCTCTAATCTCTAAGTGTTTGCTTCAACAACTGACATGAGGATATTCAAGGCAGCAAGGGGTCAAGAATTCAATCACTGCGAGCTTCATCGCTCACAGGAGGGTGCCAGATTTGAAGGTTTTTGCTTAATTTGAGTCTTCTCATCTGCGTTGGCTTGTTTGAACATCAGCCACGGAGCAGAGAAGCTCATGTTGGTCTTTGGGAGTATTTGGAAATGGCACCTGGGCATTTTCAGCTGCCCAAGATAAACACGAATCCATAAAAGCCGAGGCGCACACCTAAAACTGAAACTTAAGTAGATAAATTACCCTTTACTCATTATACAAAGATAATTCAGAACATATTTTGTTGTCTTTTGTCAAAAATGTGGACTGAAAATCAAGTTAAATGGTTTTTCAGAAAATTTGTTCCAGTTTTGTTTTAAAGTCTACAGAAGTGTTAAAAAGTATCTATGATCCTCTGAGGAAACCCGTCATTTAATATTATTAGTTTCCTTCAGTGTTTTAAAGTATCGGCTGCTCTGGACTCATCAAGCGTGTCGACATTTCATGAAACAGACGGTTTGTGTCCAAAAATAGGAAACTAAAGCGACACGTTTTATTGAAGCGCTTTGTTTCTGAGCAGGTTTGTTTAAATGTCTAGGTCAGGGCTGTTCAACTGGTGGCTCGCGGGCCGGAAATGGCCCGCAGGTGGTTTCAATCCGGACCACTTCAGTGGAGAAAACAAAAAACTTTTTTTGGGGGGGGGTTTGAGTTTTGTGTTCTGTGTATTGCATTTATGATTCAATGCAATAAAATAAACCAATTTAAAAGGTCTTTGGTTTATTTACATAATGATTTTAATCGCTGGATGTTTGGCCCCCGAGCTGTTGGCTTTCAGAAACTGTGGCCCCCCCTGAGCAGTTTTGTTGAATAGCCTTGGTCTGGGTACTTTATGTAAAAATCACTGAATTGTTAAAATAACGGAACTAAACATTTCAATGTTTACCCCATAACGAGTACAAACAGGAAGTAGCTCTTGCATTTAAAACACAGGAAGAGACGTTTTTATCACGGGCCAGAATATATTTTTAATTTCTACAAGTACGTCGGAGTTTAGTAGTTGAGCTTTCACATGAATTTTCTTATAATTAACTCATCTGTTGATTGTTTGGGTGTTTTATAGTCTAAGAGTTTACAGTGCAAAAAAAAACTAAATGTGGAAAAACTCGGATAAGTTTGAAATAGTTTGTCTGCGGATAGGCGCAGCGTCTGCAGTGAAGCGGGCGCTGTACAGGTCTGTCGTGGTGAAGAGAGAGCTGAGTCAAAAGGCGAAGCTCTCAATTTACCGATCGAGCTACGTTCCCACCCTCATCTATGGTCACGAGCTTTGGGTTGTGACCGAAAGAATGAGATCTCGGATACAAGCGGCCGAAAAGAGTTTTCTCCGCAGGGTGTCTGGGCTCTCCCTTAGAGACAGGGTGAGAAGCTCGATCATCCGGGAGGGACTCAGAGTAGAGCCGCTGCTTCTCCACGTCGAGAGGAGCCAGTTGAGGTGGCTTGGGCATCTGTTTAGGATGCCTCCTGGACGCCTCCCTGGTGAGGTGTTCCGGACACGTCCCACCGGAAGGAGGCCCAGAGGAAGACCCAGGACACGCTGGAGGGACTATGTTTCTCGGCTGGCCTGGGAACGCCTCGGGATTCCCCCTGAAGAGCTGGCCCAAGTGGCTGGGGAGAGGGAAGTCTGAGCCTCCCTACTTAGGCTGCTACCCCCGCGACCCGACCCCGGATAAGCGGAAGAAAATGGATGGATGGATAGTTTGTCTGCTTCGCATAAAGTTTCACATGTGAAGCTCCCCTAAAACTAAATCTTCCTTGACTGATTGGAGTGATAGAAGCTTCATCTTTATGCAGATCTTCTTGATAATGTAATTTAAATAAGGATTATCATTGTAAAATGACGTGTTTTATGTGGATGAGAAGTATTTTAAGCCATAAAGCTGTAAATCAAACCTCCAAATAAATAAAAAAAAGAAAAGAAAGGTGTTTAGTTTAGAGTTTAATGTGCCAGTCTGACATCTAGAGGCCGGTCCACTTATCACAACATGCAGCAGTAAAATGAGCTTCACTCGTCTCAGAAAATTCCAGAGATTTCACGAATTTTCGGACCAGAATCGTACCATTGTACACGCGACATTTTTAAAATGCGGTTTGGGTCCGAGCGTACAGTATCGTCACATTCTCCCAGAGGCACAGCGAGTCACGAGGAAGGAATGCAGAAATCCAGAACACGAGTTATAAAACATGAACTTTGTCAAGTAAAGAAAGATGCATATATGTACACATTTGCCCTCGGTATGCAGCCGACACTGTGTACCACAAACGGAGTTATTTACAGCGGCTTTACTTCCAGCACTTTGTAAGTTAAACAAACTCTTCTGTTTTGAGGTTAATGGTTCACTTTTTTAGTCTTGAATATGTCTAAAATGTATTAAACTCCAGAAGCAACATAAGAATAAATTAAAAAGTAAATAAACAGTAATCTTCTACTGAATATACTTGAGGTGAATACAGATCTATGACCGAATATCTGTCTCGACATAAATAAAAGATTAATAAAGCGTTACAGCCCAATAATTAAAGGGTAGTTACTGAGGGTTCACTTGGTACTTAGCTGGTACTTACCTGATAGTACCAGGTATTTACAATGTGCATGCCTGGTACTTTAGGGGTACTTATAATGTACTACCTGTTACTCACATTCACCCAAACTCACCCAGTAGCTACAGACCTGTGGCCTTGACATCACATTCCATGAAGTCGCTGGAGAGGCTGCTCCTGCAGCACGTCAGATCAGTGGTGGAACCATAGCTGGACCTGCTCCGGTTCACGTACCAGCCACGCACTGGAATTGATGACGTCATCATCTACCTGCTGCACAGAGCCTACACGTACCTGAACAGGGCAGGCAGCACTGTAAGAGTCATGTTCTTTGACTTCTCCAGTGCTTTTAACACCATAAGACCTGCTCTACTCTGCAGTAAGCTCCTGGACATGCAGGTGAATGACTCGCTGGTCACCTGGATCAGAGACTACCTCACAGGTCGGCCACAGTATGCGAGGCTGCAGAACACCACCTCGGACACCATACTGAGCAGCACAGGGGCGGCTCAGGGCACGGTCCTCTCACTGTTTCTGTTCACCCTCTACACCTCGGACTTCAGGTACAACTCGCAATCCTGCGTCTGCAGAAGTTCTCAGATGACTCTGCCATTGTGGGCTGCATCACTGGTGACCAGGAAGCTGAAAACAGAGGTGTGGTGGCCAGAACCGTCTGCAACTCAACGCTGGAAAAACTGAAGAGGTGCAGGTGGACTACAAGAAGATCAGTCCCCCCAACCCTATCAACATCAAGGGTACTAAGGAGGACACTGTGAACTGCTACAAGTATCTTCTATGAATCTGTTGTAGCGACTGGATGATTTTTCAGAACTTCAGCCTTTTGGGTCGTCCATGGTCCAACACGCTGATCGACCCTCGTTTAAAAGGACACTTACTCAAGTTACACTTTTGTTGCTGAGAACAGACTAAAATAAAGTTTCCAAACAAAAGAAAACAAACAGACCCAACAAATCAAATAAATAAAACCATTTTTAATAAAAAAAAAAATATGTATAAGCTTAGTGTTTTAGGCTTTTAGTGTTTTGGATCTACAACGATTTAAAACTTTCACCACCAAAATGAGTACATTTTTGTCCTTTCTCCAAAATATTGTTCACATTGAGAGTTAAGTTCACATTTTGTGGCCCACGAGTCCTTTTATCCGTGTAGTTTTGGCCCACGTGTGAAAAGGTTTGGACACCCCTGCTTTAAGATGCGTTAGTTTTATTTACGTGTTTTCTTTGTATCTCGTTGCGTTTGTTCATCTTCCCCACACAGTTAGAGGGATGTGAACGGTTTAAATTCATTAATTCTTCTAAACTGGTCGGTGTGTTTGACTCATTAGTAGTTACAGTAATATATTGTTTTTATTAAGCCATACGCAGGAATGTGTGCATGATAATCTCATGCACACGCTCTGATTGTCGCTTCAGCCTGCAGTAATTCGGCCCTCAGCTCTGCGACAGCAATGTCAGCTGGTCCTGACCTGAGATCAGCTTCTGCTTACGGGTAAAAACGTATCGGTTACGTTGTGTAAATGTGTCGCGCACAAACTGGCTGCGGACCGACAGCATTAACTGTGAGCGCAAGCGCCGGCCGATGAGCACCCTGTTTGCTGTCCTCGTCAGCATAAGATTAGGGTGCCACATTTCTGCCATAACTGTGACGAGCACAACATCCACGCCTGCAACACCCGCTGCAAGTTTAACTGCTGTACGAGCAAAGGATCATGGGAGCAGTCACCTGGTTTGGTTATCTAACTTCCACAGGAAAAAAAAAATATTTAAAAATGCAGATTTTTCATTGCAACATTATCCAACAGTTTTTAAAATGTTGCTCTGTTTGAACAAGTTATGTTAAATAAGAATTTCTTTCATATTTCATTTGTCTATCCAGCTTGAATCAAAACTTAAATACAATTTCCTTCTAAACTTTTTATGTAAATCATACATTTGAACTATTCTGTTGTTTATAAGTAGGTATAAATTATGGTAGCAGATAAATTAATAACCATGTCATTCTTTGCATGAGGGTTTTAACCAGATCTCCATTAATTTAAAAATCACATATTCACACTGAGGGGTGAATCCTTATTTCTGTTTTATGATTTTATAACAGTGTTTGAATATTATATTTTAGTATTTAAATTAGCAAAATTTGAGGACAAAAATATATATTTTTTTAATTAAAACAATGTAATGGAAAATGTACGGAAGCGTATTGCTGTCAAGGAAAAAATTAAATTTTGAACACTATCAGGTTATAACTTGATAATTATATTGTACAAACTTGATAGTGTACTGTACAAATGTGATTATTTTATCCAAGGTTTTGTTTCCTAGAATTAAAAATATTATTTACATATGTGCAACTTTTACAAATTGTCTTTACATTTTTTTTTAGAAAATACACTTAGAATGAAAGTGATTGACTGAAGCTGGGAAAATCATTTACAAATATAATTGTTTTAGGACCTACAATGTAAAGAAAGTCTGCATAACCAAACTCTGCCTCTAGGATGAGTTTTATTAGTTTGTTTTTTGAGCTGCTTTATGTTTAGTAAATAAATGTTTTTGTCTGTTGCAATTCCCAGTTTGAGCCACTAGATGTCAAAATATTTTATATTACAGACCTTTTAAAGTGCCTGTGACATGCACATTGAACAAATACAAAAAGTGGATGAAAATATCTGTGTAATATACATGATTTTACTCATTTAGTCATATAATTAGCACTTTTTTTTAATTGGCATGGCCAAAGTGAAACAGGAAGTGACATGCAGGTGACCTCTGTCATCACTTCCTGTTACTGAGCAGGCGAATATCTCAACAAACAGTCATCTCAGTGGTGTAAAATTTATTTATTATTTTTCAAAAAATGCATTCATATTTAGTACAATAATTTGATGTCAGAAGCACTTTAAAACACAAATAAAAAATAAAAAAACGCATAAGGTTAAATTATAATTTATGATCGTGACAGAGCAGATACTTGACAAAACGATGATGAAATGAATATAGATCATTTCAAATCTTGATTTTTGTTTTATCTTGAAAGAAGCAAGAACTTGTTTTTTCACTACATTTAGATGTGCTTGCCCATTTAAGGGTTAGCTTAAAGTTTGAAGTATTATAAAGTATTTTATTTAAAATATTTTGTTTTAGCAAAGTTCTCATGATTTAGAGTCACATAACTATAGAAAACGGTTTATGTTAGGAAACAGAATATTTAAGATTTCATTGTGCAGAGTTGGACTGAAGATGCTTTGAGGGATATGGAGACACAAGTTGTGTTCATGATTTGTGTTTATTTGTTTTGCAAACAAAGTTTACTTCATAACAGTGTAAAATATCATCACTCAAAAGTCTCATTTATAAAAAGCATGTACACAAACCTGATTTCTGTCCAAAATGTTGTTTAATACTTTTTTGCATCCTTTCGTCTTCTCGTTCCTTTAGATTATTTTTAATCACACCAGTATCTTTTTTATGAAGGGTCAAAGTTTGTGTAAATCTGTCCGTTGTCTGTCAAACTTGGGTGACCAGAGGTTCTTTGAGGTAGAACTTTAGCCCTTGCTGGTCACCCACTACCTGTCCTGGACAAAGTCCAGCCAAAAGAGTCCCATTGAGTGGGGGGCAAATCGCCCTGTTCTGCTCAGACATGGGGTCACAGTCCCTCATGTATTCAGGATCTTCATCCGTTCCATTGTCCTCTTCATCGTTCTCTTCATCGTCCTCCCTGTCCTGTTCCCAGAGAGCTGTGGGGACATGGTTGTACACTCTGGTGTCCTCACATTCCATCTCTCGGTGGTAGAAGTAGCTAAAGTTGGACACGATGACGGGAACAGGCAAAGAGATGGTGAGTACGCCGGCGATGGCACACATGGAGCCCACCAGCTTTCCCCCAACAGTCCCTGGACACATGTCCCCATAGCCCACCGTCGTCATGGTCACCACCGCCCACCAGAAAGCTTCAGGTATGCTGGTAAACAACGTGCCAGGACTGTCCACCTCAGCAAAGTAAACGGCGCTTGAGAAGAGTATGACCCCGATGAAGAGGAAGAAGATTAGTAGGGCGAGCTCTCGTAAGCTGGCCTTCAGTGTCTGACCCAGGATCTGGAGGCCTTTGGAGTGACGAGAAAGCTTGAAAATCCTGAAGACTCTCACCAGCCTGATAACCCTGATGAGGGCCAGGGACACAGAGGGTGGAGTACCTTTGTCCTTGGCAAGCTCCGTGCCCAACGTGACAAAAAAAGGCAGAATGGCCAAGAAGTCGATGATGTTCATGATGTCTTTGAAGAAGTGGATCTTGCTCGGAGCGCTGATGAAGCGCATGATGAGTTCAAAGGAGAACCAGCAGATACAGACGGTCTCGACGATGAAGAAGGGATCCTGGAAGGGACTGAACGTTGGTGCAACCAAGATGGTTTCGTTTGGGCTGGTGGGATGAGGCGTGGTTGTGTATTGCTGTAAGACAGATAAAGTACAGGTTAAAATCCTAAATAACACTTATTGTGTGAATGCTGAGTCAGCGTTCACAGTTTGTTTTTTGTACAGTTTTGTGCTAATTTTAAAATTTGATTATTTATTCTTTCAGCTACAGTTGTCCTACTTGTAGCTGTTTGTATAGTTGTGCTAATTTTAACTTTTAACACATTTTTGTTGCTAGTTTTAGCTTTTTAGCTATAGTTTTGCTAATCTTCGCTTTTTACCAGCTGTTTTGCAGACGTTAACTTTAAGCTTCTGTTTTGCCAAATTTTGCTTTTACTTATGGTTGTGATCAGTAGTGGACACAACTAACCAAAAAGTTAGCTTTGCTAACCCATATTCTCCTAACTAAAAAAAGATGACGCTAATGCTAAATCGCTAAGATGAGTGTCTCTCAGTCTGCTTCACACGTCTCCGTCTCCTTCCAGTTGTGCCGACCAATGGCGTGCCTAACAGACACTTCGGGACACGCCCACAACAGACGGGAACAAGCTTGTGAATTTTGTTAGTGAACTTAAAGTTGGCTAAACCTAATTTACTGGAAGTTAATTCACTAACAGTTTCCAAAGTTAGAGAAAACACTAATACACTAAACAAAAAATTAGTTCTACAATTAGCTGTTGATGGATTAGCAGAATTGTGCACGCCACTGGTTGTGCTAAGTTTACTTTCTATATACAGTAGTCCCTCATTTAGCTCATGGTTTAGGGGCCACGTCCCTCCGCAATGTGGAAAACAAACAAAGTAGGGATAGTAGTACAAATAGTCCGAGTCAGAGATTCTTTATTGTCATTCGCACCTCATGTGGTACATGTGGTGGAGCGAAATTATGTACACAGGGTAGTAGTAGTATTAAGTAGTAGTTTATTTTAGTGTGTGTATATATATATTACAGTAGAGAAGTGGGCTGGCAGAGCGCTGAAATCATGACATTCTGTGCTCTTTTAGAGCGTTTAGAGTTTAGAAACATTGTTTAGAATATTGCAAGAGTGGGGGAAGGGCTTAAAACAC